TGAAATAAGCAAGAAATAGTGACATTTCCATCGATAATGTATCAGTGTCGATGATGATGATGATGACGGGTTGTCACTGTTTGGCATCATGCGTGCTGTTCAGTGATCGTGTTCTGTATGATGTGATATTTTTGAGTGCTGGCCAGGTCTTTATTCTGCGGTGCATTCGGCGTTGGCCGGCTGGCCTGTTGGAGATGCGGCTGGGTTCCGTCGTCGCGGCGGCTGCCATGTGATATTGTAATCGTTGATGATTGTCTAAGAATAAAGTTTGCTGTGGAGATGGCGTGATAGCATGTTGTCGCACACAACACTTCTCATGTATTTCCATGAATGAAGTTTTGTTCGTTTGCTCGCCATCACAGGCTTTCCGGCGCGCAGATCGTTGGGTGGACCTTCCTGGCAGTGATGATGGGCTGCTTGCTCAGTGTTTTTTACCATCTCTCTCTCCGCACATCCTGTTGCAGCTTGGGCAGCAGCAGCGGTGCGCCTATGGCTCCGGTGCAGCGGACAGCGCGATCTCGGCCGTGTGGCGGCGGCGGCGGCAGCAGTGTGACGCATCGTTCCGGCGGTACGCGTGCAGTGAGTGGCCAGCACGTTAGCATTTCCTCATTTCATTGGGTAGCGCCGTTCAGGGGCTTCCTGCAGTTAACGCTGCCTCCGTATTGCAGCTGATGCTTGTGCAGCATTATAACGCATCCGAAATAAGCTGCTGTGTGAAGTATACAATTTTTGGGTTCAATGTTTTGTTCTGGATAATTGGCTTCGCACTGCTCGCTGTCGGCGTCTGGGCGCACTTCGAGAAGAACAGTGCCTACTCGCATCTGAACAAAGCTTCCAAGTTTTATCTCGATCCGGCAATTTTTCTGATCTTTGCTGGCAAGTCGCAATTTTCCTTTCCTTATTTTGGGCTTAATGGAGCATCACGCTTTGAAAAAACGAACTTGCAAGGTTAACAGCAACCGCTCGTCTTTTTCAGTGGTTGCGTTGGAAGTCCGGCTGTAATTCAATCCATTTTTGTTGTGCAAGATTGGCAAAACACGATAATACTCCGCTACCTAATTTTGTTCCAAATTAGCCAGTTTCTCTGATTCATTTGTAAAGGAATCGGTGTTATTTCGCCACTGTCATCATCTGTTGTTTCAGGCGGTCTCATATTTCTCATCGGTTTTAGTGGTTGTGTTGGTGCATTAAGAGAGAACACCTGTTTCTTGGCGCTGTATTCCACAATAATTGGTCTTCTGTTGCTTGCCGAAATGGCCTTGGTTGTCTTGGTATTCGCATCGAAAGACTGGATAACCCAGGAGTTTTTCACAAGGCTTGACGACACGGTACTCTCTTTTTTGTGAACACGCGACTCTTTCGTGAATGAACCCAGGCTGGAACGCACCGGGCA